CCCCCCCCCTCCCCCCTCCCCCTTCTCCTCCCCTCCCCCCTGTTTGAATTTCATCCTGGGGAGAACCCTGAGATGGTATGGGCATATGGTTAGGAAGAGACATGACGGGCAAACGAAGAGAGCATGGCAGGAGCCGGTGAGAGGAAGAAGGACGAGAGAACAACAGAGAATTGAATGGAGGGATGGAGTGGAGGAGGAGATGAGAAGGTTGGGAGTAACGGAGAACAATACGGCCGATTGAGGAAGGTGGAGAAGAATCATCAACAGAGAGGTCAGCCCCTAGCTGACGTCTCAGCGTAGACCATCCGCAATTGACTATGAAGAAGAAGAAGAAGAAGAAGAAGAATTTCTAATTTTCATGCTTGCTTTTTTCAGATTTGGTATGTTTGGAATAAAGAAGGAGATACCAGACAATCTAGCTTTGAACTATACAGGAGTAACCTTTGCACTAGTCGGGCAAGTAATTTGTAATATTGACATCACTCTCATGTTTAAACCCAATGCCACACAAACGTGTTTCTCTTGGTTTCATTGCAGCATTTGATATTTCTGTAAATAAATAGTACCTGGTACCTTTTTAAAATATAATGATGTGGATATATCGCATTGCAATCTTCCAGGGCTATTCTGTTCATTTTCATTAAGAGTGAAGGAGGCGGACCAATGAGAGTGGCCACAAGGCTGGACAGTGCTACTGAGCCACTAATTGTGAACCCGGTACCTATCAATCATATTCTCCATACATCAGGAAAAAATAGAAAATAAAAGAACTGTTGTTTGGGTTTACTGCATGACGTAAAGGGTAATGTACATCCATGTAGAGTGGAAGTTATACAGTGAAAACAAATCTAGAGAATAGCCACCTGTTTATAAAGAAGAGTTTTAGTTTTCTCACGAGTGGTGTTCTACAGTGAAACCAGCTCTATAGAACTGACACCTGTCTATAAGGGACACTTTCGGGGTTTCCCATGAATGACCCTCATCTACAGTTGTGCATGCATGTATATAATTATCTCGTATTGTTGATAGGTTGGGGATCTACCCCATGACCGTGCACTGGACCGGCCTCTTGCCACGACATGTGTCGAGCCAGCCGATCCAGATGAGACATCCATAGACAGATTGCAACCTTCAACAAAACGTGTCGTGTAAGTCATGCTGCGGCTGCTGCTGCGGAAATGGTTCTGGTGAGGCTCTCAAATTAAACGCAATTAAAATGTGCAATTCCAGATCTGCTACTTCTGTCAGTAAGCTATGCTGCATGTCTTCTTTCTTCAAGTTATGTGGGTGGTGCACAATTTGGTTGGTTTATTCTATCTCTCTGTCTCTCTCTCTCTCTCTTCCTCTCTCTCTCTCTCGCTCTCCCTTTCATTCTCATTCTCCCCTTCTCTCACTTTCTCCCCATATCACCTCTGTATTTCTTGATATCGATTTTTCTTTTTTATATAGAATGTTGTTTTTTCAGAGGAGTGTCACTATCAGTTATCTCTGGCTTGTTTTACGGAGTCACGTTTGTTCCAGTAATCTACATACAGGACAATTATAAAGACTCCAGCCAAAATGGTGAGTCGTCTCAAAGGAACACTTCATTGAGACATTGTACAATTATTGCTGGGCGGTGAGGGAATTTTGAATTTTGTCAACTGAGAAAACCAATGTTACTGAAGCCCGGAGGTTGAGTGTGTGCTTTCTATTATGTGTACATTGGTTCTAGACACAGTGTGTCTAACACAAGAGATGTTATGTTGTTGTAGGTCTAGACTGCGTATTAGTGACAAACTGGGTGTGAGTGATGTTTTGGTTTTTTAGATCTAGACTAAGTATGACTGACAAGCTGTATGTGAGTGATGCTCTGTTGTTTTAGGTCTAGACTACATATCAATGCCAAACTGTATATGAGTGATGTTCTGTTGTTTTAGGTCTAGACTACATATCAATTACAAGCGAGCCGTGCGTGATGGTCTGTTTCCTTTGTTTCCAGTCTGGGTGTTACGCTGTCTGGGCTAAATAATATATTTTTCAGGTACGGATGTTATGTGCTCACAGGGTTGAATGTTCTGTTGTTTCAGGGCTGGATTACGTGTTTGCTCACATGAACGGCGTGCTACTGACAAGCTGCGTCACATTCATCGCTTACTGTGCAGTGATGCGGAATTGCCCACGCGTCTACCCGCGCGCCATCTTGCCCGGCCTCGTGTCCGGAGCGATGCTTGCATGCGGCGTCACTGGCTGGTTCATAGCCAACCAGGTGCTCACCGAGACCATCAGCTTTCCCATCATCACTACGGTAGGTGGCGCCACCTGCACACGGTGGGAGCAATTCCGGCACGGGCAATCCGCGTTACTCTTTGCTTAGCATTCATTGAACATCATAAAATTGTATTGAGTTGTTCTATTCTGTCATGGCAGAATCAAAAGTAAGGCGAGGTACACTTTAGTTACTTGCTTCAATATGGTTTTCTCGGATTTCAAGTAGTATAAAATGTCAACTTTTGTTTTTGTGTCCCACACTTTCAGTTCATGAAAATGTGCATCTTGGCGTGGACCAAGATTGGTTTATTAGTCTTTATCTACTTTCCAGGGGCCGGGAGTCATAGCAGCATTGTGGGGAGTATTCGTCTTCAGAGAAATACAGGTATGTTATTATATATGTGTGGTTTATTAGTTTTGATTATGATTTATGAGTTTTTTCTGTGCTGAAATATTTTCATGGCAGTTAGAATTAAAGCTCCATGAGGCGAATGATAGAGTGCAGATGCTTCTGTTGATCTTGTGCACACGTGCATGCAAAATATGAGACTGTACCAAGATAACATGCTACAGGACTTGGATGCTGAGCTAGAGTAGTAGAATGCCATACAGCTGTATAGATATTGTACGTACCTACAGAGAATGCAGACAGCACCGGAAATATTGCACACATTCATGAAGAAAGTGTTTACAAAACTACAGAGAGAAGGCACACAGATCTAGCAAAATCAAATAGTTTCTTTTTCCCTGAAACAGACAAAAAAAGATAAGAATTAGAAAAAACATAAAGAAATGTATCGAGTGCATCCTGCAAAGGACCCGTTGTAAGAACCATCATGAACCGTACGTAGTACAACGTAAAGTTGTAATGTCAAAAGTACAATAATATTGTTTATGTACTTCTGATTACATAAGTGTAGGGTGTCATACCTTTTGCTCATGAAGTGTTGTCTTGTGCAAGTGCATTGTAGATTCATGATAGTTGTAACTATTTGTTAGAACGTTTCTGACAACGGGCTCCTGTTGTACTGTACTATTCATCAATGGTCAATTAAACCAATAATTTTTTGGTCTATTTTATTCCATCCATCAAAAGTGAGATGAGGTAACTTTAGCTATATGGTGTGATACGCCCACATGTATAAAGGGAAAAAAGAGATTTCGAGACAATTGGGTCTAATATTTGAGACGTTTTAGTTTTACATTCGAAGATTTGTGTCGCTTGTATGATATGTGCACATGCCTATAATATATGCAGTATTGGTGAATGAGGGCAAAGAGGTATATTTTAAACGTGGACGAGATTCTTTTCTTAGGTAGCATAACAACTAACTGGGTTGTTGCATTTTCAAAGTGTAAACACTTGCCTAACTGTGGATTAGAACATAGTAATATTCAAAATCATATGCTATATATAGATATATATTATTTATTGAATGCAATGGGGAATTCTATACATAGTTTATATTTTCCATAAATAAAATCGCTCAGTTAATACTTTGTAGCATGCCAAAATTTCACCCCTGTTCCAATCTCTTTGTCTTGGTAGAATGGAAGAACACTTATCTGTAGTGAGTACAAAGCATTGCATGTCAGAACAATAAGTAAACAGCTAAATTTCTGAGCAAACAAATTCCCGTCACATGGTCGGCAACTCTCAAGTGAATTCCCACACAACCTCAGGCACCATGTTATGTTGCTTACAGAGGTCCATTGCATAACAGTAAATGTACATCAACAAGGGCAAACATTCCTCTCTTTAGTTATAACAAGCAGTTCTTCATACTCCATCCTCTATATTTTACTTATAGGTTCAACCTTTATAGACTTTCTACCTACTATACTGACGAATTGCACACTTATTAGGTAACAGTAAGTAGATGACAAGTTGTCATTGATCTCCAGACCCATTCGAGATAGATAAGTCAGTACTCATGCAGAGTAAATTTATCACACACGAAATTTCCTGACCGTGTGCTGTTTATGTTCGAGAAAATGTCTATTGCAAAAGTCCAACCTGAGAGCAGTATAGCGAGTATGATCCTCGAGAGAAAACATAAATAGATTTACGGAGTATGAAATCAGGAAAATGCTCAAGCTGCTTACAAAAGCTGCAAACCAAATATAAAAACCACAGGACCATTATTAACAAGTTGTTCAAGATGCCATATTACGATTCGGATATAATATTTACAGATCAGAGATCACCACGTTCTGCTATGCGTGAATGAATTGTGTCTATACATACGCACGTATATATTAACAACAGACGGTGTATTAACATGCAGTTCAAGTTAATCATTCACAATTGTCCTCGAAAACCCGTTCTTTACACTCTTACCGTGTTACATACTGCCACAGAGGTGTGACCCCTGTCTAACCTTCATTATTTTTTCACGAGAGCTAATATATCACATATATATACTAACACCTGTACCACCAGCAGTACAAATTTTCTATCTACACGCATTTCACTTGACATGTTAATCCGATATGAGATATTTAACCACTTTTTGTAAATGAAAATAAGTGTCTACGACAATATCGTTACGCCCGTGTGCCTTCCGAAAAATGGCCAGTTTTATTCTTTATGCCTCCAATTCACCTGCCAACTGTCGACTGTACATGTCAATAATAATATATTTGTTATTTACTAATTGAAGAAGATACTATATGAAATACCAATAGTAAAACAGAGAAAACCATGGTTACTTTGATGTACTGTTCAACCTGCTTTTAATCTAGTAGCATGAGTTATAACTTTCAAATGGAATATCAGTATAGCAAATACAATACCGACATTTAGCAGTAAGAAAATACCTTCATCGGTAGAACAGATCGAAGCACAAATGTAATAAGAATTAATATAAATTATTTTGTGTTGCAGAATTGAAGCACCACTGATTCCATCTATATACGTTTTTAGACTAGCATGTAGGCTACTGGACGTTTTACACACACCCACTGAGTTAAAAAGCACAATTCGCCATTACAGATCGTGCGCGAAACTTTGCATTTAACAAGCTGGTCACCATTTATTGATAACGAAGACATTTACTTCCAATATGTGAATACAGATGTCAACAGGTCTCAGCATTTGTCCACGATTCCTTTCGATCGGACTTTGCATTGAATCCAGCCTGTTATTTTCTCACTCACTGTTACCCGAGCAGTGGCGCCACCTACAACGTGCTCTGCGCCTGCTTGTAGCAGTTCCGGCAGACGGGCACGGCGCGGTTGGAGAAGTGGCCCAGCAGGTGGAGCCGCTTGTCGATGCAGCGACTGCAGTATATGCGTCCGCACCGCCAGCAGTGGTACTTGCGCGTGAAATGCTCAAAATGCGCTGCGCAGGGGCATGTGCGTGCTTTGCGCAGACTCCGCCACTCCACCGACACGGATTCCAACTCGGCGAGAATCGCTTCCGCGCTCCCGCTGCCCTCTGCGCACCCGCCACACGACTCGACCGTGCTCAGCGACACCTGGAGGCAACCGACATCGACGCCGGACTCGCACTCGCTGACGGTGGCGCCCTCGCGCGTCGCTCCTGGCAGGAGGGGCGTGAGGATACACGTGGGGGTGGTGGCGACGTCAGTGGAGACGGTGTCATCAGAGAGACCAGACACGGATGAGATGGCGCTGTCTGTCATGCATGACCTTGGTAAGGTCGTCGCCGTCTGCTCAGTGTTCTTTCCCACCAGCACCTTCATAGACGATATTCTCTAGAGCAAACGTATACATGTACATACACGTGTGATAAAATAGACGTACGTACTATGTCTTTTAGGTTAGACTCTGGCAAAGTGAAATTGAAAAACTTGAGAGCACGCATTTATCCATTTATAATAGAAAAGAGCATTTCTGTATTTATATTTTATTTATAAGTCTTTATTTGTGCTCATGACTCATATTACATATATATATATATATATATATATATATATACATATATGTATGTGTGTGTGCGTACGTGCGTGTGCATGTGCGCGCACGCGTGTGTGTGTGTATGTGTGTGCGGTCTAGCAACGCATGTATCCGTGTGTTTCAAGTGTGGATAGCTAAGTCTGAAGATTTACTGACCTTTGATACAAGTTTGAGATGATCCTCTAGGGAACAGCTCTGGTCCTTCAGCACACACAGACTATCCATAGCCGACTCTTTGGGATGGATCCAACTCTCAAAGCGCATGTACATACCCTTCCAAAACCTAACAGACGAGTCAGGTTAACAGACAGACGTGTAACTGTCTGTCAGTACAAACGCATCTAAGAACACTTCTGCAAATTTTAACGAACGATCCAGCCAACCAGGTTTTCAACAGTCTTTTTCACAACAGTAACTATATGCCGTGTATTTACCTGTACACATGCAAAATACGCGCGAATCACAATTTATACGAAGAAAGTTTGTGATACTGGTCGATGGTTTCTTGCAATGGCAAGACAGCAATCAAACTACTCACGAGGCTCAGTTGGCAGCATGTGCCAATCCACGAACTTATGAGACGGCAACCAAACCACCTATAGGTCTACCCACGCAATGAGGTAAATATAACAGTTAGCTTAGCTTGTTAGCTGTTATATTTTACAGTTAGCTGTTAAATTTAACTTCTTGTACCCACGGAGCCCATCGTTCTGCCTCCGTCCGCTAGGTGGCATTATCAGCACCAGCAGCAGGAGGCCATGAGGCTCACCCTGTAAAATTACCTGACATTCTGTGGACTCGTATTGGGTTTTAGCACGCCCATCTGGCTGTCCTCTCTCCTGTACAGCGGGTTCACAAACTCCCCGAGGTTGTGCAGGAGATATCCCCACAGCGAATAAGTCCTGTCAGACAACCTGTGATATGGTAATATAGTTAATGACGTGCAGGACGTACCCCCACGGCAAACATATGTATGGTCAGACAACTTGTGACGCTGGTAATTGTAGGGTCATGCAAGAGGTCTCCCTGCAATGAATATGTAAAGTCAGACAACCTGTGACATGGTCATATAAGGAGTAAGGTTGTGCAAGAGTGCAAGAGCATGCCATGTTGTTCTTGGCTCTAATGCTAATAGCCAACGTCCCTCTGTATTACGCAGCGTGTAGAGCTGGATGTTATTTTGATTCTGCTGGCTTGCTCTCTATTCATGGAAGGTCGGGGTCAAGTGTGACGTTAATGCCCGTCTCATGAAGGCAATGCCCATCTCATAAAGGCAGGGAGTCTATTGAGCATGCTTATTAACTCATGTTGAACTTAACCTCAACTCACCTGAGATCGACTCTGTCCTTCTCGCAGTTACCGATGAATGTACCAAACTGGCAGGAGTAGGCGTGGTCGTGCAAGGCCAGCAGAAACTTGTCGTTGAATTGAAATGCACACGGGAATTGCTGTAGCACCTGTTGATAGACAGACATAGTTAAGTGTCGACCTGTGGAGATAGGTTTGCGGCAGCGAAGAGTGAATAAATACATAGGTATAGACCCGTATAGTGCTATATATAGGTAGAAGGTAGAGCTATCCTTGCGCATGCTAGAGGCTTTTGGTTACTAGTTATATCTTTAACTTGGGCTATAAGGGTTATAGTGTTGGGCTTCTGATTACTTACCTGCCAAGTAGCATCTATAAATTGTGTGAATATAGGAGATTTCTCTTTCTGGTCACTCTGGAGGTGTCCACAGCGATCTGTGAACTTGTGCCCGAACGACAACCATTCCTTCTCCACCAATATCTGCAAATTGTAAGATTTGTGTCGATCGAGCTTTTAAACGTCAAAATTGCCCAGTCACACTTGAATATCTTTTATATTATCTATACAGCTTTTAGTATTCCAAATTATCTGTCAGAATCATCACGTATATAGTAATGTTGCTACATGGGCTAACATATGCGAAATTACCGCGCTCCGATAACAAATGCTGTGGGCGATTACTCGCGCGTGACGTCACATCTGTCCTGTCAGGCCGCTGTAGCCACAGGCACAGGCACTTAGTATGTTTCAATAGTAAAATGATGGTAAATAAACACGAAAGGTATTCACTATCAAAGTTTCTCTACTCTTTTTCGCTTATTATTGCTGATAATTTCCTGGAAATGCCGTTCAAATGCTCCTCTGCAACACACAAGCATAGCGCGCACACGCCGGTGTGCACAAACAACAACAATAAAGAGAAGTAAGAATGACAAGAATAACTCTCTCGAGAATAACAATATTTTGCCTCCCTCTTCTTCTACCACCCCTCATCTATCTTCCCTGCCGACTTTCCTCAGTCTCCCACCCCTCTCTCTCTCAGCAAGCTATATTATGCAGATTTCTTTAGTCCGTAATGCACACCTGAAACGGTGCTCGCGCATGCGCAATATCCCCAGAGAAAAATAATATTTTGCAAAAATTATGCATTTGAAATGAAGAGGAGTTATTTTAGCATAGATTTACATGATAACATTCCATCAGTAGACCTCACTTAAAAACAGGGAGAAGACCTTGCATGTAAGGTGCCCGCTGCATATACCAGTCAGTACACAATCTGGCTACGTTAGTGTATTAGCGCTGCGAAATATCTCACCAGAAGAGTTATATTTTGTGATGAATATGAATTTAACATGGTTAGGGGGTATCTCAGCATAGATTTATGTAATAAATTTTTATCAGTAGACCTGTGTTTATAATTAGGAAAGCGCCCTAGCCTGTAGAGAGCGAAACGCCTACCTCTACCCCTACCGTCCTTTCCTTTGCCTCTCTTGTCCCTCGCGTAGCCTCACCCTTCTACCGTCCCTCAGCTATCTTCCCTCAGCCTCCCACCCTCTCTCATTTAGCAAGCTATATTATGCAGGTTTCCTCAGTCTGTACTGCACGCCTGAAACGGTGCTTGCGAATGCGCAATATCTCCCGAGAAGAAGAATATATTATTTAAAATGAATTAGAAATTTTGTGATGAATATGAATTTAATATGGTTAGGGAATATCAGAGCATAGATTTCTGTAATAAATTGTTACTAGTAGACCTGTGTTTGTAATTATGAGAGCGCCCTATACTGTAAGGCGCAAAATCCCTACTTCGCCCCTCCCGTCCTTACCGTTGCCTCCCTTGTCCCTCGCTCAGCCTCCTTCTTCTTCTACGGCCCCTCAGCTATCTTACCGGCTGCCTGTCCTCAGTCTCCGTTTCCCCCCCTCTCTCTCTCTTCTCGCTCTCTCTCTCTCTCTCTCTCTCTCTCTCTCTCTCTCTTAGCAAGCTATATTATGCAGTTTTCTTTAGTTCCTACTGTGCGCCTGAAATGGTGCTCGCGCATGCGCATTATCCCCGGAGAAAAACAATATTTCGCAAAAATTATGCATTTAAAATGGAGAGGAGCTATCCTGGCATAGATTTATATAATAAAATTTTATGAGTAGACCTCTCTTAAGAAATAGGATAAATACCCTGCATGTAAGGTGCCCGCTGCATATACCAGCCTGTACACAATCTGGCGACGTTAGTGTGTTAACGCATGCGCAACATCTCGCCAGAGGAGTTATATTTTGTGATGAATATGCATTTAATATGGTCAGGGGATATCTGAACAAAGATATTTGTAATACACTGTTATCAGCATAGCTGTGTTTTAAAATTAGGAGAGCGCCCTAACCTGTAGGGTGCAAAACTCCTACTTCACCCCTCCCGTCCTTACCGTTGCCTCCCTTGTCCCTCGCTCAGCGTCCTTCTTCTTCTACCGCCCCTCAGCTATCTTCCCGACCGCATTTCCTCAGTCTCCGTTCTCTCTCTCTCTTTCTCTCTCTCTCTCTTTTTCTCTCAGAAAGCTATATTATGCAGTTTTCTTTAGTTCCTACTGCGCGCCTGAAACGGTGCTCGCGCGTGCGCAATATCTCCCGAGAGGAACAATATTTTGCAAAAAATTATGCATTTAAAATCGAGAGGAGATATCCTGGCATAGATTTATATGATACAATTTTATGAGTAGACCTCTCTTAAGAAATAGGATAAAGACCCTGCATGTAAGGTGCCCGCTGCATATACCAGACAGTACACAATCTGGCGACGTTAGTGTGTTAGCGCATGCGCAACATCCCGCCAGAGGAGTTATATTTTGTGATAAATATGCATTTAATATGGTTAGGGGGTATCTGAACATAGATTTTTGTAATAAACTGTTATCAGTATAGCTATGTTTTTAATTAGGAGAGCGCCCTAGCCTGTAGGGTGCAAAACTCCTACTTCACCCCTCCCGTCCTTACCGTTGCCTCCCTTGTCCCTCGCTCAGCCTCCTTCTTCTTCTACGGCCCCTCAGCTATCTTCCCGGCCCCATTTCCTCAGTCTCCGTTCCCTCTCTCTCTCTCTCGTCTTCTCTCTCTCTCTCTCTCTCTCTCTCTCTCTCTCTCTCTCTCTCTCTCTCTCTCTCTCTCTCTCTCTCTCTCTCTCTCTCTCTCTCT